AAATAAAACTGCCCGGAATCTTAAACTTTAAACTACTTTTTGTTGAAAATACTTCAGCTAGCTTAGAAGTCAAGATAGCAGGATCTTTGAAAAATGAAAATTATGACCCCTCTACACTAGGCAAATTTTTGTTATTTTTTGCAAAATGATGATCTGTCGATTGTCAACTCCGTTTTGCAAGTGCAGATGCTGACGAGTCTTAAAACTGACAGATCTGTCAATTAACTTTAAGGAAAACATTACTGAAATTTGAGAATAGATACTGTTGCCTGACTCTGTGGCAGACATACCCAGATAAGATACCATCACAGAGTCTGATTTACTGATTTAGATAGTAGAATATGCAGAGTGTTTACTACTGATTGTTACATTATTATTGTTATTATTATTATTATTATTATTATTAGCTATGCTCACTGTTATGAGCTAGTAATAATTTTCTTATAAGTGTTTACTTTACTTCCTTAGTAAGTGGTAACACCAAAGAGATCAATGCGAGGAAGATGAAACCAGAAGAGGTTCAAGAAATAGTCACAAGCCTTAGAAATGAATCAGGAGAGGAAGTAAAGAAACTAAGAAAATTTTGGCACACTGAGAATCCTTCGATACAAGGAACGTGGAACCCATTCCTGAACAAACCTCCTTCACTGAGAAAACACATCAGAAACAAAGTTGAGTGAAGCTGCAACAAGATGAGAAATTACTATCTTATCAAGTTACTACTGCTACTCAGTGACTTGTGAATAAGATTTTCACATCGTGCTTGGACAGGAAATTTTTGAAAAGCCACGTACCTTGTGCTTGCTGTGACTTACAGGACAGGTTTCATTGTTGTGTGATCTTCAGGACAAAACCTTGACTGTGCAGTACACAATACATTTCTGTCAATCATAACTAGAGTGGATGGGTTTTTAGCAGACGTTAAGCCCAGTGGGTCAAAAGTCAACATTCAAAGACTAGCACTTTATTGACTTGTTGTGATTGGTAGCTTCCATTCTGTCAATGTACTGTTTGTACAGTGGATACTTTACTAGTAATCAGACATCTATTTGCCATTTTATTCAGAGAGG